TCAGGAAGATTTCAAATGGCAAATACTTGGATCTTGGGAGGTAGTGCTGTGGGAGTGCATAACAAACTGTTCCTTTTGTGTCTCCTTTCTTTGATATCTTCCCCTGGCCACTGTCAGGGACTGGAATCTGAGTTGCAATCCAACCTACTGTATCTGCCCTAATGTTCTCATATATCTGCAATAGATTGGTGCAAAGATAATACTTATTTTTTATGTCCTACTAAAAATGGAACTTATTTTCTAATAGAGGCAGGAATTGACATCCCCCAAGGAAGGAAGCATTTTAGCTAAACTGAAGCATTTCAGAAATAAGCATTGTGCTAATCCAGGGTAGATGATGCAAGCCATGTTATGGAGCTCCTTAGTGCCTGGGTGAGCACATTCCTGCACTGCCTGTTCAACACAGATAATATAATATAATTTACTTCAGAATCTGAAGTACATTACACTTTAATTCTTTACTAATATTGTTTCAGGAAGCTGGTGTTATTATTCCCATTTTCTAAATGCACCTCATCAGAAATGTCCTCAATTTAGATTTGAAAAAGGTGAAGGAAAAAAATGCCTATTGTCTTTATGTTTTAATGCCTTAAAACATGAAGACCATGTACTTATGATCTTCACTATTCACCTAATGGGCAGAGGATGTTTGTTTAGATAGATGGTACTGGAAGAAAAGCACATTTTGGCTATGCTACCACACCATGGAGAACTTTAAGCCATTTGCATTCACATTCAAGACAACATCAATCATGAAAACATGAGCCAGAAACATAAGGTTTCTAATTTATAGCAAAATTTGTAGCTGATGTTCCTTAAGTTTTAAGTTAATCCATTGAAAAGCTTTTAAAAGAAAATGAGAAGCCCCCTTGGCACAAGTTTCTTGGACAAATGCTCATGTACAACTGATGATCACTGATATCTTTGTGACAGTTCAAGTAATGTAAGGCACACTGATGCTGTTCTCCTCGCTCTGCCTGGGAAGGGATAGCCCTCCTGGACATCCAAAAGGAGCAATATCCTCCTGCTTTAAGAGAAGCACCTTTTTTCCTCCATCTTTTTTTGGCTGATGACTCAGAGAGAATGTGCCAGACAAAAATAAAATCTCCCTGACTAACATGCTTTACGTCTAGCCTAAAGGTACAATTTCCAAGAGCGAGCGCCTTGCTGTCTAAGCCAGGAGTTTAAAGCTCTTTTGATTAGTTGACTTGTAAGCATTTTTCAGAAGGAGGTGGCATCCACACCATGCCTCTGAGTTTACTGAACTAAGTCTTCTTACACAGTCTTCCTGAAGGAAGCCCAGAAAAATCCTATAGGTGCTGGGGCCACAGATGGAAAACCATGGGTGAGCCCTTTTGATTTTTCACCTGATAGGAAATCCTAAAACGGTCACCAATTAGAACAAATTATTTCTCCAACGAGTCTTGTTTGCAAAGGCAGGAGACTGTTTTACAATGAGCAGGGAGCTGACACACAGTGTTTTACATTTGATTAGTCTGGGAAAGTCTGGCTAAGAGACAGACAGGGGAAAGGCTTCATCCCAGTGGCACATCCGCAAGCCACCGACTTGCTGAAACGACCGTAAGAATTCTTGCAGTCAGGCTGTTTCTTCCCTTTTTTTTTTTTAAAGAACATTTTGCATCTGAAGTTACATCTTACCAAAGTGAGTCATTAGTGAGATACAATCTCCAAAACACACTGACTTAATGTAGCTGAGCTGGTGGCAGCAAAGATCTAAGATACAAATGTATTTTCATGACGGAGCTTAAAAGATATGCTGATTTTCAAAAATGAAGACTACTAACTGTTAGAGAATATTTATTGCATGTAAATACAAGAATTGTCTTCAGACAGATCAGCTACTCCTGCTCTCCTCCAGCCACCCAGGCCAGCAGATTGACAGAACCTCAGATTTACCTCCAGCCTCGGCTGGCAGGTGCTACCATTTTCTCAGAGTACTGCTTATACTTTTACTAAGAAGGCTTTTGCTACAGTTTGGTGACTTAACGACTCTACCAAAAAAAAAAAAAAAAAAGCACCAGCAATAAATAAATAGTAAATAAACAAATAATGAACTCACTTATTTTATACTGTTTGAATAATGACTTCTGTAGCTATGGGAGAGTGATTAACATGCACTGCCTAACGAGGTTTTTCATTGCCCTCCAGTCGACTTGCCCTTTTTCTTAATGAAGTCACCAAACCCAAACTGAGACCTTTTCAACAGAGTAAGCCCAGCTCCAAGGAGAGATATTCACAGCCTTTACTTGCCCCAGCCCCACCTCTATACAGACAGAGGTACAATTTTTTGTCCAGCTTTTCTGGGAAACAAGAACTGACGCCATAGACCTACCTTCTCAAACAAGACAAATTAATAATTTTGGATGGCTGGATGCTGCCTCTATGCATTCATGAGGCACAGCTTAACTCCAAGGAGTGTTCCACACAAAATAGCAACAGCACCAGATAGTCAAACTGCTTTTGCTTGTATGGTGAGTTTCTGTTGGATAAATAGGTCAAGTAACTACACCTTTATCTAATACCTTTGGCATTAGTGGCCTAAAGAGCAGGAGCACGAAGGGAGACCCTCCTTCCCCCTCCTGCTTTTCTAAGCCATGTGTGAAAGATGTTTGCAGCAAACATCCATGGCTGCAGCCTGCTTTCCTTCCCCTTGGACTCTGCCTGCTGGAAGAGGCACCAAGCTCCATCTCTCCTGAAGAACTACAATGCTGGCTGCAGGCTCCTTCAGCCTTTAATTATGTTAAGTTGACCTTTTTAACCAACACACCTTTCCTCCTAACTACTTGTCAAGCACCAGCACAGAAGTGAGACAACATTTAAATTGCTGGAATAAAAATCACTTATTTCAAAGCAGATTCTACTTGAATGACCCCCAATGTTACTGCCTCATCCAGTCTTTTCACAGTAACACAAAACTTAAAGTGATAATGTAATTGAACAATTTGTTTGTGTTTTCTGGAGGGAAAAGAAGATGAAAATATTCTATGAACCATTAATATGGCATAAACTAGTCAGGAGTTTTTCTAGTTCAACCACTGCATTTGTTTAAATGTGACAACTGCAAAATGTAAAAATATTAAATATGGTGGAGAAACAGAACTGAAAAAAAAAAACCAAAAAAACAAAAGAAAAGAAAGAACACTAAAGGCCATGTCTGACTCTAGTGAGATGCATTAGAACCTATCTTCTGGATTTCACAGGGAGAAGGCAACCAATCAAAATGAACTGTTGACTCATGAATACCAGCACCTCAAGTGTTCCTTAAGTATTTTGATACATCTCCTACCACTGGGGACTGGAAGTTTCCACCACAGGATATTTACAGAATTCCAATTTAGAGTTTTCTAGCCATAGTGGTCTAGAGTGAAATTGGCTGCAACTGAATTAAAGAGGACTTAGAAAACATGGGTGCTCAAACAGCTGCCACTGCACATAATGGGTGCTGCAATCAGCTTCTGGAGGGAACTGAAGGAGCCAGCTCATAATGGGGAGAGAAATGTGGTGCTTCAACTTTAAATTCGTATTAATAGTGTGTTGTAGTCACCTTATTACTGGACAACAACAGGGACAAAGTGGGAACTTCAGCATGTTTCTACCTCATGTACACATCAAGCTGTGTATAATGTATGTGCACAAGCACCTGAAGTCCAGCTTACAGAGTTACTTCTCTATTAACAGTTGCCTTAATTTTCTAACTCTAAGCCAGATATTGCAGTCAGGCAATCATTGCTCACTGGAATAGTCACATCCTGATGCTGATTTCCAGGGAGGCACAAGATTTGCTCTGCCTGCTGAATAGCCAGTGGGTATTTGCATGCAGGCAGCACGTTGACTTCAAGACACAGAACATATTGTAGTAAAGCAATATTTCAAGTGTTCTTCCACACTGGATGAGATCCAGCTGGTGTCAGGTAGAATATTTAGACAGCATGTAGGCGCTCCATTTCATTAGAGGTCTAATCAAATTTCTCAATGCTAGAACAAATTACTATTTCCACACCTCTAATCAGCAATGAGGGTGCTTTACTGAGAGGAATGTCAATCAACTCAGAGAGGAATATTTTTTATTTTTTTAGTTAATAGGCATAATTACTTTAAAACAGATTTAGAACCATATGGCCAAAACCCCTCCAGATACATTTAGACAATAATGTAACTATATTCCCTTTACCACATGCTACAGCAGGAGATATTAAACATATTTACAAGCACGTGCTATTAAATTAGGTTCAACACTGTTAAGACACTGTCTTATTAAACAGTTTTTAACTGCAGAATTCATATGGAGGAGAGAACATATGCTAGCTTTCAATTGTTCTGTTAGTATCAGCCAGAGCAAATCCAATGCAATAACAAACCGCCCAGAGACAAATAAATGATGATTTTGAATAAGCAGCTGTGTACTGCTCTAGAATAGTTTACACCAAGACAGCTTGTATTCCTTCACTGTCATGAGCATAACTTTGTTTACTGAGGTTATGTGCAATTGCTCAGAAGCATGAATTTTCATTTGAAAATGATAAGTGAGGAGTCATTCCTGCAACCATTCCTCCCTTCTAAGGAACAATTTTAATCCATCCTATAAAGTGTCAAATGACTCTGAAGGAATTTACATTTCTCTCCAGTTTAACGACAAAACTAATTTGAAATTTAATATGCTTTAAAACAGATACACAATTATACATTTTGATTCCAAACTGCAGCAATTGAGACATATTGATTGTATTTATGACTTTACTGCTCATTCTGAATAGACAAAAACCTGATTTTCAAGTTACCTTTTACTTTTCTTCTAAATGTCTTTTGCACTTGCAGAGGTAACAGATCTATGACTCCAAAGAATTCTCATGAATGCGATTCCTCCTGGCTTTCCTACACTTTAACCTAAATTAGTGTTTGTTGGAAGACTTAAATCACAAGCCAAAGGGTGGTCCACACACTGACCACACCATATTCCCTTGTGATAAAGATTTATTACTTCTGTTCCAGCCTACTCTCAACACATGGAGCCAAGAATACTTCATATTCCACTCCATTATTGCTTTTTACCACCTGATCCCCTGAGGAAGGGGACTACAGGTAGCCTCACACTATTACCAAGTTCAAAAGGTTGGAGGCTGAGCTCAGAATCCATTAGAAATCCATTGCTAGTCTAACAAAACAAGGTGCTTACCTTAGGAGTAACATGAGAGTCATTAACAAGAACAAAAGGTGTTTAATCAGGAGGTTGTATCTGTTTATTTATCTTACCCTAATTCAGGTAACCAGGGACATTCAGGAAAGAATTAATATATCTTGCTCGACTAAGAGCACTGACTTCTGTCTCTTACCCTGAGCACCATCACTTACATCAGCCTCTCCCTAACTTAAATCCATGACTGCCACAAAGATTATGCCCACAAGAAAAAAGCCCATGCTTCAAAACACCTTCCTCTCATTTTAAGAATGATGTGAGAATGAAGATATCTGAATAAATAAGTGGTTGATATGGTCTGTAACAGGAACAAAATAGTTATTCAGCTTCATAAACACATAATATTGTCTACCATCTCTACCAGTATTTTGGCCCAAGTGATAGTTATCGAATGTCTGATATGCAAGAAGCATCCTATAATAAAAATTTGAAACTAGTAATTAAGAGAGACATTTAAAATTAATACCCCTTGATCATGCCTCCCCTGTTATCAGTAACACTGCTCTGCCCAGGATGGCATACCAAGAACTGCATAGAATTTCTTCATAGAATATTTAATGGACTGACTGATAGGCAAACAATCAGAAAAAAATTGTTTGTGGAGAGTATCCCTACCCCCCTCTAATGGCATTTCCCAATTTGATTCATCTGCATTACATTTCCTATAGCTTCTACTCAAAGCACAAAGACTACCAGGCTGGGCTGCAGAGACAACAATGGGGAGCACCTCTGCATACAAACAGGAACACCTGCAAAGAACAGAGAAATTAAACAGCATAAATTATTTCCATACAGGTTTTTCCAAAGATGATGAGGTGCAATTTCTCATTAACTGAGGTCTCCCTCCTGAGAATTCAAATTTCTTTTCTACTGAAAATGCCCCATTTCCCCCTGGTCCATCCTGACCCACTTAGACAAAAGCCAATATTCAGCCTGGACACGCAAACTATGCTTGAGATCCCCCATTTTTCTCTAGCCCTGTAAATGGAAATCTGATAATAAGATCTCCAGACCCCAGCTACGCACAGCCAGGGGAGAATTATAGCACTATCTTCTCTCTCTCAAATCTCCCTAGCCATAAAAAAACCAGTTCAAATCAAGAACTAAATGAGTATTAGCAGCTCCCTCACCAATGTGGGAGAGAGGAAAAACCAAGGATGCTTAATGAACCATAGTATTTTTTTCAGATTTCAAAATACTGCCATTTAAAGAGATGTGAGATTTGAAGCCCTAATTAAGTAATATGCATACATTTAAAGCAAATGTTCACAGAGTCCACATCTCCAAACCACAGCCTGTGATTTGGCTAATGCAATGCTCCACTCCCAGAAGTAAGTCTAGCAGAAGACAACCTCCACACTTGGCTAACCCACTCGCAACACTAAACCTCAAAGTTTCTTTTGAAGAAAATCCTCCTGCCCACTTTCTTTCCTTTCTCACCTCCATTCCCTCCCTGTAATTCAGGAAAGATTGTGTTTTTGCTTTTGTTCTTTTTTTTTTTTTTAAATAGAATGACTACTCCAAATGAACATGGTTGCTACAAGGCCACCTCTTACAGCTTTTCATTGCAAAACAGCGTTGTTCACCAGAGGTTCATTTCACTCATGCCACTCTCATTACAGGTCTAATGAAAATTTAATAGTTCTGCCATCTCATTTTCAGCCAGTAAAACTAGGAAAACACAAGGAAGTTTCTTTACAGTAGTTTTTAAGGCAAAAGTGGGAGAACTCAGGCAGCCTTAGGACCTGCATACATGTGCAAAGAGCAATACTGCCCTTTGATTTCAGGATACAAAGACTCTAAACAGGGGATGGGAGAACAACCAGTTAAATGGATTAGATTCTGAAAAGACACAAATTACTGAAACACTCATGAGGATGGGGAAGGAGAGAAACCAGTCAACTCTGGATTTTCACTGCATTTATTTCACAGGAAAGAACCTTGTTCTTAGTTGTTCATTTGTTGGGAGTTTTTTTTAAAATCGAATCTTTCAATAAAAGAATGAGAGTGAATTATGGGAGTGAGGGGCCTGTTGCTGTCAACTTTAACTGCCCTAAAAAATTTCGTTTGTTGCTCTTGGTTTACACCTTTACATTTTTTGATCCTAAAAATTCCATCTTGTCCCCCAGCTGCACATGCAGGATTACTTGGAGGAGTGACCTGAGCTGGTTTCACCATGTTTCACCAGTGCTCCAGGGGAGTGGAAGACACAAACACTGAAGGCAGACACAATGTTTTACACAACAGAATGTTGCTAAAATTAGAACCAATGAAAACAGAGTTGATTTTTTGTGACAGACTTTGCAAATCATTTTGAGAACTCCTTTACGAAGAAACATATTGGAGATTTAAAGCCATCTAGGCAGCTCGTCACACCCTCTACAATGTGAAGAGAGATTATTATTAAGAGGCATCAAACTACAGAAGACATAATTTGGTTTTACAAATTAAGATTCTCTGTGACAGCCAACATTTGTTGATGAGATTTCCAAAGCCAACTAGACTATGCAGCACAACAACAAACAACAACCAAAAAAAAAAAAAAAAAAAAGTGCTGCATTGTGGAAAACCCAAGGTGTTTTCCAAGCAACGACATAGCAACTTTTGTTTGCCTATGCTCAGAATAGACTGAACCAGGTTGACTTTCCTCAAAATAGCTGAGATATCCTTGAAAGGCCTCTGGATTTTTACAGTGCAGGTAACAGCATCTCCATGCATCTTCATGACTCATGGTGACACATATTTTAACTTACACAGGCTTAAGAGACCTGACATTAAACTATTTTTGGCTCACTTTTGGGCTACTTTCTTATTCACCCACACAGACGAATAATGTGAATGAAAGTGCGTCTTTTCTTTTTTTTGGATATGACCTCAACTCCCTGAGCCCAGGTTAGTGCTATTGTAAGCACAGCATCATTTAATGATGTTCACACATTTTTCTATCTTAAAAGCAGGTGCTTTTTTTGGCAGCATCAGAACTAGAACAAACTCTTCCAGATCCTCGTACCTGTGGACACTTCAATTTTCCAGCCTAAATGATTTATGACCATATTACATCCATCTACTCTTGAGCTAATTTCTCCTCACTTGCTCTTACCATGAGATGTATTTATAGACACTGATCATATCCCTCTTAGCCTTTGTTTCTGCTGGATTAAAAGACCAAACTTTTTTAGTTTCCTTCTGCAAAATCAGCACACCCTTTCTCCCAGCACCCAGCCAGCTCCCCTCTGTGCCTGTTTGATCAGGGACCATCCTTCCCAGCTTCTCTCCTCTTCAGCACCAGAGCCCGGCAGGGGGACAGGAAGGTTCTGCTCCTGCACTGGCATCCTTCTCCCTGCTCCTTCCAAGGAGCTGCTCTTATTAACGTGAGCAGCAGCAAACAGCCAAGCCTGTAACCCTCACCTTTCACACCACTGGATTTCACACCACTTCAACTATGCCCGTGCTCAACATCTCCCAGCTCTCCATGAAATGTCCCTGTCTCCCTGGACCAACAACATTTATCACTTGCATTGTCCTCTCAGCACAGTGACTTCTCCTTCCAGCATGGCCCACCATAACTCCCATTCTCTTCAGTTCCCAATCCCTGTAATTAACAGTAACAGAAAAATAGACAAACTGTGTCAGATCAAAGGTCCCTCCTGCCCAGTAACCTGTCACTGCCAGGGGACAACAGGATACATGTAACAGCCAGGAAAGCACACAGAAACTATATTGACAGGTGTTGCTATTTCATATTTACATGTGTTGCTTAATTTTTCTGTTATGAATTTGTGCAAATAGTTTTCAAATCCAGTTAAACTTTTTGATATATAGAACATTTGATGTAAGTAAATACAAATATTTAATTAGCACTGACTTGCAGTGTCAAGTTAAACCTTTGATGTTACTTCAGATGTTTAATGACTACGGTGCAGTTTTAGTCCATTGAAAGCTTTTTAAAGAGAACACTCTAGTAGCTGTCTAATCAACAGAAGACCACTACATTAGTCTAGAATGGCCTGCATTTGGTGATATCATGTAATATATATTTTTTTTTTTTCATATTTGCTTTAGTAACTTTGTACATATTGAGAGTTGTACTAAAGGAGGAGACATGCATGGGAGGATGAGGAGCAAATGATGTCCATCATTTTTATGGGTATTTCCCCTCTCACATATCACCCTGATCAGGTAGGTCTATAAATACCAGGAAAGGCCTGGATTTAATATGCCTTGATGCTGCACTCCAGCACAGACACTGGCTCAGGCCAGGAGGGTCAGCTAAGTCAGCTCCACCTCCACCTCGCCAACACTGAAGGTTGCTTTTAAACCACACTCCCCTGTCACCCACCTGGCCACTGCTCTTCTATCTCCCTCACTGAAATCTAACTCAAACCAAATATTCAATCCTGGAACCATGTTTATACTTTTCTGTCCTACCAACTTGTATGTACACGCAAAAGAACCTTTCACTTCACACGCTTTGCAATTTGCAACCAAGCTTGAACAGTTGGCAAATCCTCCCTGTTCCTACATTTCCTGACATATCAGGATTTTTCCATCCCCTGAAGACTTTTTGCTCATTCCTAAAAGCCTTCTTGAAGCAGCGATTTATCCAAATAAACACTGAGCTCTTCCTATATAATATTCTCTTATTTCTTGCTCGGAATATTGATTTTGTTTAGGCAGGAGAACCTTGGCTTTCCATCAGGCTGCAGGATAACACCCTGGAGCTCCCCTGCCCAGGGACTCCCCTACATGTTGCATTTTCCAAGGGGAGAGCTGGAGCTGTCCTGGTTACTGAAGTGGCAGCAACTCTCAGGCACCTCCAGGAAAGACTTGGCAACAGCACCCCTGTGCCCTGCTAAGCACTTTCCCCTTCTGGTATGCCAAGGTTTGTTACACAGGCTGACCATCCATCCCACGAACCACAGCTACTCCGCTTGTTTTGGTCATTCTTCCATGTATTTAAAACTGATTTTTAAAAGCATTAGCCTTGGTTGTGTGTTCAACAAGCTCACTCACCAAACCCAAGACAGTATCACCTATAATCACCTATTACTGGCTGTCCTTTTCTTTTTCCTCCTAAACCAAATAATGATGCAGTTGTTGTACCTATGACTGTCTAAGCCCTTCTGATTAGCAACAATTCTTCTGCAAGCAGGTCTGATTATCTAGAGAGTGCCATAACAATAAACCCAACTGGAATATGTATCCTTTTAACATGAGAAACCTTCTTCATAGGCAAATTCAACCCATGAATCCTTAGCAAGATTCTCAGTGCTACCCTCATAGAACTTTCCATAATAAATGTAACTTTGATTAATCTGAAATTGGATGAAGCATAAAGTGCTGCATCTAGCTTTTCCTGTTTCCCAGCTGAAAGAGAAACTTACCTTCACCCATGAGAAACCAAAACCTGCTAGACTATTTCAAATTTCATTATATGCCACTGAGTTGAAAGCTTGCTTTGCCCCTTATGATTTTGACAACAGCTCTACCTAAACTGTGAGCATTCAAATGACTTCAAATAAAGACTTAAAACAGAGGAGGGCAGAAGAGATTCAACATGTTCCAGGGCAAATAATTTTTTCCAGTATATTATCACATGAACATTAAGAAAAAACCCCAACACCATCAAAAGAACAGATGAGGCAGCACTTATCTGAAGATTATTACTCCTCGAGATTCAGGTCAGATTTACATCTTGCTTCTATCAAGCGTTTTGTTTTGGTTTTTTCCTCATGTCTTCTACTTGCATACTTGCCCATGAGGTGCAAAAGGTTAAAATTTACAGTGATTTTTAATACACCAACTTTTAAATAATGACAGATGTAGTCAGAAGCTTTGCACTTCTGTTTTTATTGTCCAGCCTGCAACAGAGATGGAACCATGTCCCAGTGCCACCACTGAAAGCACAGAACACCTTTCAAGAGGCTTTCATGACTCAGTTTCTTTATTCTTCCCCAATTTTGTATGGTTGGAATGACCACAGCCAAAGCAGAGCAGCACTAAATTGCCTTCCTCAACAGACCCAACTGGGTTCCTATGTTTCACCATCATCCCTAAACTACTTTAAAATAAAATTAAAATACAACAATAAATCAAATCTAGCAAGTTTCCCGTTACCAGAAAAGCGCTATCTAACCTTGCCCCCACCTCCTACCTCCCACTGATATTAAAGAGGTATACAAAAAAGTCCTACCCAGCAGGATGGGAATACGACTTCAAAAAAATTCACTAACTAAAATTTAATTTTAGATCTACAAGTGCTGCCAAGCACCACTTTATTTGTCAACAAAACATTTTGATTATTTGGCAGAACAAAGCAAGCTCCCTCCCTGCTTGTTCTACAGACATATTTGGCACTGGTTAATTTGTATGTCTTCAGACATATGTCAAGTCTGAAGCTGTTTCAGGCTTTAACCCTGCAGAACTTCTCTGTTTTAAGTACTTGTTTTTCTTTAAGTGGGAACAGCAGCAAGCTAAAGCCAAGAAGGGGTTTGGTCCTGCAATGAAATGGTTAAAAATCAGACTCTGCTGATGTGTGCTTCTCTGATCCATTACATTTCTCGCAAGCTGAGCTAAGAGCTGAGCACCAAGTATCAACTGTAATATGATCCAAGAGTTTATGGAAAAAATAACTGCACATACCAAGCATGCACATTTAATAAGATTTTGTTTCCATTAAAATATTCAAGAAACACGATTTTAAAGATCTGCTTCTCTCTCTGACCGATTTTTAACGTTTCTCCTCCCCCTCCCCTAAATACACACCTCCTTTCCAAAAACCAAACCCTTAAAAAAAAAAAAAAAAGGGAAGAAAGAAAAAAGCAGTCCTACTGCAGGGAAGAGAGGCTTGAAAAACAACTTTGATTGGCACTTGGCCTGACCCACAGAGGAAGAAAAACAGTTTTCGGACAAAGAGCGCAAATATTTGAGCTCATTGACTTACGGCTTTCTTAGCATTTGCAAGAACCAACCTGGAGCAAAATGTGTTGGGAGAGATTGAATTAAAATAAAACCAAAATCGGCATCGCGTTCATCTCGGGCGCTCGGAGACTCGGCGCATTTGAACAGCTCAGCAATTTTAATTCATTTGCGCTGGACAAACAAAAAGCACCTCCACCGATGCTCCCCGAGAGGCAGATGCGGGCACCGGAGGTGCAGCCGCCGCACCCCGGGGGATCGGGGAGGAGGCCGGGGCTGCTCCGGGGCTGCGCTCTGCGGGCCGGGCCGGGGGCTGCCCATTCCTACTGCTTTCCTTACATTTTTAAAGCTCCGATCCCAAATCTCCCTCGCACAAAGACCTGACGGAGATCGCGGGGGTGAGTTTCGCCGCTGCAATACGTGGATAATAAACTTTACGAGCGCGGCGGGGCCCCGGATCAAGCCCCGCAATGCCGAGCGCCCCCCAAACCCTCGGGATGCAGGGGGGCAGCCTGGGACAAGCCTGGGCAAGTGACAGCCGTCCCAAGGGGGATGGGGGCGATGGGAGCGACGGGGATACGGCACTTGGCACCCTCGACGCCCCCCGGGTTCCCCTCGCCCTGCTCCCCCCTGCACCCCACACTCCCGGCACTCTCCTCCTGGGAAGCCCCCATCCCACCGCCGCCTCGATCCCCGGCCCCACTGCCGCCCTATTGCCCACTTCCTCTCTGGCCACTGCCGCCGTACGCGTCCCACCCGCCAAGTCTGTCCCGCTGCCCCTCGCTCCCCAAATCCCCCCACAAACCTCTCCCGCCGCTCCCGCCGCCTCCGTGCGGGCGCCCCCCGATACCTGTCTCGGCACCTTCCGGCAATTGCCGCACACCCGGTACTGCCCGGCGGCGGCGGCAGCAGCAGCGGCGGCGCTGCCCACGGGTCCGGAGCCGAGGCGGTTCATGGTGGCGGGGACGGCGGCGACGGCCGGGCGGGACGGGGAGGCCCAGGACGCTCCGCGCCGCTCAGCTGCTCGCGCCGCCGGCCGCCCCCATCCCCGGCCGCGGCCCCAGCGCCCGCTCCGCGCCGCCGCCCCCCGCGCACACCCCCGCGGGCCCCGCCAATCCGCGCCGTCCGCCCCGCCCACCGCCGCCGCCGCCGACCAATCGCGACGGGCCGCCCTCCGCCGGCCAATGGACAGCGCCCGCTCCGGCTCCCATCTCCGGGCAGCCTGCGAGAAGGGGCGGGGCAAAAGGCGTGGCCGGCGTTGCGGAGGGGCGTGGCCGACGGCGTCGCTGGGCAGCCTTGGGCAGAGAGAGGCGGGGCCCGCGCCTCGGCGCGTGCTTCCCGCTGACCAATAGCGTGGGCGCCATGCAAAGAAGGCACGGAGACCACGCCCACAGGGCCGGGGTTCCGGCGGCCGCGGCTCCCTCGGGGCCGCTCCCGCTCCCCTGAGGCGTCCCCGGGGTCCTGATGCGGGCGCGGCGGGCATGAGGGGCCGGCCCCGCTCCCCAGCCAGCCCGGCTGCCGGCCCCTGGGGCAAGAGCCAGTCCCCGGCCATCGCCGTGCTCCTCGTCTCGAGATACCCCAGCTCCCGGGGCGGGGGCGAGCTGCTCTCGCTGCCAGGGCGGCGGGCTGCACATGCAGGGACTCGGCTGCGCTGGAGCAGGATGAGCTGCTTGCTCTGGGGGAAACTGGGAGCAGCATGCGAGAGTCTGTGTGTGTGTGTGTGTGTGTGTGTGTGTGTGAGTGTGAGTGTGTGTTTGTGTGAGTGTTTGCCTCAGGTCGCCGGGATTGTTAGGGATGATGAGTCAGGTTTTCTAGGCTCCATGCTAATGCACGGAGATGGAGTGTATAATTAGGACAGAGGCAAATCTATTATCTGCAGCCTCGCAGAGCTGGAGTATGAACCTCGGGTTTTTTTTTTGGTTTTTTTTTTTGCATCACGGCATCACTGCAGCTTCCCTTGCCTGTGTGCTCCTTAGCTTTTAAGTCTGCACAGAGGAGCTCCCCCATAAGTAGTCCCACTGACGTCAATAAAAATTCATTATATGTCGAGCGTTACATAACTCATATTTTGAAAGATGATATAGAAGGATTTTATTTTTTATTTTTAATGGGATCAGAATGCTATTACTCTACAAAATTTCTATGCAGATTTGTGTTGTTACATTTTTTTCAAGGTTTCTCTAGGAGAAAGAATTTGAAATCAGCTGCGTTTGCTTTGCCTGGGAATACTTTCTATTTTTGCAAAATGAAGTGTTGTATAATTTAGTCAACTGGCTGGCTAAAAAGGGCACAATGCAATTAGTAATTTACATATCTTAAAGGAGACTGATTGAACCTAGATCTGTCTTTGAGAACTACCGAAAAGTTTCACAGATCAGACTTTGCCAGCTTAAGTAAAACCACATCCACAGAAACATTCTCCTCCATGCTTTCCCTTCTATCCATTTGAAAAGGGATCTTTTCCTCAGGCAGAGCAGCCTTCAACAGACGGACACTCTGTGGACTCCACTGTTGGGAATGCATCCAAATGTTACACTCACAGGCAGCCATACAAAATGCTTGGAGAGGAATATATGGAAGGGGGTTGGGTTCTTTTGTTTTGTTGTTTTGGGGTTTTTTTTCCCCCCAAACAGTGTACTAGAAATGGCATCCCAACATGAGAAAACAGTTTGTTTGTCTGAGTGCAGGTACTTGCTGTTGTGCCACGTCTGAATCCCACACACTGCAGCATGGTGCTATTTAAGCCAGGGGAGAAGGGCAGCCAAACAGGTTAGTTTTCATCATGTAGTCTGAATGTAATGCTAAATTCTAAGTAAACTATGTGAATGATGTAAACAGCCTTTTCTTTTTTGCTGAACTTGATTATAATGCTATCTGAAATAGGAATGTTTAAAAGAAGCAGTAGAGGGTCAGTGTTATTAAGCCACAAGCAAAAGGGAGTTTTCTCTTCAGCTCGAGTAAGATCACTTTGAGTCATTTGCTGTTAAAGTGTTTGGTTCAAAACTCAAACCCATTGGCAATGATGGTAGCCAGGAAAGAGAAAGATTTTGGCTGAGTTACTCCTAACATTTAAGATCAGAACATTTGCAAATATTCAGATATCTGTGATAGCATCCATTCATTTATTTTATATCCACAGTGGCAAGTACACATGACTAAACATTCTTGGAAACCTGGTTGGGTCCCATTCCCCTGCTGAAATTGTTTCTGCCTTGAGTGACAACTTCAGATCTTCAGCATACTCCATTAAACCCAGGAAAATTTTCCATTAGCCAGGTGTGAAAGTTAGGCTGACTTGTAAGACAGTTTAAAATTAAAGAAATTTGGTATCTAGTCTCTGTTCTGCCACAAACATCTTGTGAAAGAAAGCAGGACATGCATGCCTAGGTGCTTAAGTATTTGGTTGACTAACCCTTAATTAAACAAGAAGCACTTAAGTACCTTTGTGGCTCCCAGTCTTGCCTTTCAGTACTTTAGTATCTGAGAAATGTCAAGAGAAATATAAACTTTGAAAGTGTTTCATTGTTTTTGGAAACAATACAGCAAATAGAAGTTGCCTAAAACCCTTTTTTGCCTTCAACAAAATATCTATTGGATATCTTTTCTGGAGTTCATTTTTGCCGTCTGAAATTTTTTTAATAAAACTCTTTTTAATAAAGAGTTTTAATGCTACTAGAGATCAGACATGTACTTAACAGGGCCAATACTTACCCAGTATCAGTCTTAGAAAACTCGTGTATAGACTGGAGACAATATGACAATTCTCAAAACACCTGAACTCCTTTTAGATGTTGTATTTGGAAATGAACTGCTGGGCTTTATGTGACAATGCTCCTGTAAAACGCTGGGTTTGTCCTCTGTTTACAGCATCCATGGAGTTCTGCTGCCTGCAAAGGATTGAGCCTGTGGGCTGGATTTTGAGCTCTTGGATTACTCCATTTTGAGTTAAACATGTGCATAAATTCTCCAGAATAAAAGCCTGTCTTTGTATAGGCTGTTTTCTTGCTGAACATATCTGCATTCTTGAACATTCTTGAAAGTTCTCCTTGTCAGCTTAGTGCTCAAAGTATGCAAAAATATCCAATGCTCCCTTCACAATTGTCTGGCAGTTCTTATGATTCAACTGTACCTCACTTGCCATCCACTGCTGTGGATTTCCTTCAGTTTTTGCCCAGCTACTGAGTCATAAAGGAAAGCAGAATGCTGAAATTAAGAGGTACTTGAGTTACAAGTAGCATGGCATCTTGACCTGCCCAGGAATTTTACAAAGATTATCAGCTCTGTACACCCAGTCAGTTGTCTCTGCTGAGCTCACCTAGACAGGCTGTGAACTATGGCTGTGTAAGGGTAAGGTGGAGATATTTTTTTAATCTTGATGATGTGGAGCATACGGTCTTGAGACCATCACATCCTTTCACAGAGATTCCTGACTTGCTGGGATAGATTTGCACAAGTGGTTACTGGTTTAAATAGATTTTTATCATCAATGATCATAACTTTCCTAAAGTTTAAAAAACAAACACTGTGATGAAACAACAAGGCAGGAACAAACTTCCAAAGGAAGTAAGGATTACTCTGCCTCCTGAAATCATCAGATGCATTTTTGGCAGACACATTGCAGCCAGGTGTGGACTGCTGCCCTTGCCATAGGAGTGGCTGAGATGTGATGGCCTTTGCTAGGAGGTCAAATCTCTCCTAATGCCTTATGCAGACTTCAAGTTAATGTTGTTCAAACAGATTGGCCAAGAGACACAGGTGCATCCAAACACTGAGCTGCCTTCATCCCCCAGAGCACATACTCGTGTTTTAGTGGTGTGATACCAGCTTTGCACCCCTGCTGAGGCTGCACTATTTCCACCTGGAATTTGGACAAAATGCATCTCCACTGTTTTCCAGACAGCATCACACCCAACAAGCATCTGCTGCACAACCATTCTGTAAGGGAGCACGGAGTTATAAACTTTTTTCAAAAGCAGTAACAAGCTGATCTGTAGATTGACTGCACTGATCATCTTGTCTGTCCCAGAACAGTCAGCCTGGTGGCAATGTGCTGTGCAGGTGATATGGGATACTCACAAAATCTCCATGATCCTTCCCTAAATTATGCACCTATTCTACAAGTGTGCAGTGCTTTTGTTGTTCATACATTATTGAACAGCTTGATGCTTCCTGAAAAGGCTAGATTGACAAGATCAAGTGCTGTAAAATTGCACTCGTTATGCAGTGGGAACGTTTGTTATTCATAGACACCCAGCAGCTTGGAGGAGAGAACAGGAGGGGGCAGCTGCCTTGCAACAGCTCTGACTGGATTGCTGCAAGACTAGAAATCCCATACGAAATTAGAAGATCCTCAAGTTTTGCCCAGAAGCAGGAAGAGAGAGCATACCTGAGCACCCAGCTCTGGAGCCTTACCGAGCTCCCTGACTGCCACAGTGAAGTGCTGTGATTAAATGAGCTGATTGACACATGTCACATGCCTTACATTTCATGAGTCATTCAGTAAAGCCATACTGAACATGTATTCACAGGCAAATAATTGTAGTTTCTTCAGGCCAAAACTCCAGCCCATTGACATGATGTCAAATGAGTGACAGCCCTGCCTTCATTATCATAATTTTTGTTGCACTGTCCTAATATAATTTGCCCAGCATTTATATTATGTTGTTAGGGAAAGGAAGAGCAACAGGTGAAGTCTGTGCCCTGAGTGATGTTATGCACAGTCTGACACTATAAAATGACTTCCCATCCTTACTATTACACATCCTAATAATTATGTGAGACAGGGAGATGTGATAGTTTGTGGAATTCTTCCTTGAGGGTGATGGTACACGCCTTTTCATTTACAGAGTTTAAACTCTAACTAGATAAAGCTCTTGAATTTATGTTTATCATAATAAACAATTGTGGCCTGGCCCAGGAAAGCTGAGCTCAGTGACCCTTTTAATATCTGATTTCTTTGACAGAAAACATTAAATCACTATCCAACCAAGAAAGCTCTTCTC